GCCAGCTCCTCGCCCCCAGCACCCTCAATCCCTTCATCCCCAGGAGGTGGCTGAACTTGGAGCAAGTCAGGAGGGCAATGAAGAGGTTTGCTGAAGGTAGAGTTTTGCTGGGGAATGTCTTCTCCCTTGCCTTGACCAACGCCTGGGAGAAGTTCTGGGAGAGGTTACACACTCCTGGGGCTGTGGAGAGCAGAGGCGAGTGGGGTCTGGACCAGGGTCAGAAACCAGTGGCACCATTGGGTTGGTTTGGGTTGGGTGAAGGTCTGGGAGAGGTGGCAGCTCAGGATGGAGAAAGTTCATCATGGTACGTGGCTCCTTATCAACAGTATTGGAAAAGCAGAGGTGTTTTCCATGGGGTCTTTCTCCTCCGAGCTGTGTGATCTTTTCCTCTCCCATCCCATCCTTTGCAGGTGGACAAGGAGAAGCAGCAAGTGACGGTGGAAGGTGGGATTTTCCTTTCAGACCTCAACATCGAGCTGAGCAAGCACGGGCTGGCCCTGGCCAAGTGAGTAAGACCCGTGCATGGAGCCATCCCTGCGTGTCCTCCAAGGTGTCCATCCTTGCCCTAAGTCAAATACTGGGACATTTGAAGAGCTTTTTCTGCAGAATAAGGGTGTTTACTTCAGGATCTGACCTTCCACCAGAGTCTTGCAGGCTGCAGGTCAACCCTCTCCACAACGGAGAATCTGGATCCTGCCTTGGAGCAGGAGGCTGGACAGGGGATGCCTTTATCCCCACACCAACCCTCCATTCTCACTGCATCCACTGAGCTGGTCCTTTCCATGTCACGAAGGAAAACTCTGCTCTCCCATTCCCTAGAAAGATGAGATCACCCCTCCTAGGGATGCCTTGCATGGGGCAGAGGCTGACAGCTGGTAGCTGTCAGGTAAAGGAGGCTGGCAGTAGGCAAAATTAGGTAGAAATTAGTTTTTATGGCAATGGGCAATTAGCCATTGGAATATCATAGCAGGAGGCATGGGACAATCTTTCCTCTGTGTTGCTTTGGGACAGCTCCTGACAAAGGAGGCTGGAAGTAGGCAAAATTAGGTAGAAATTAGTTTTTATGGCAATGGGCAATTAGCCATTGGAATATCATAGCAGGAGGCATGGGACAATCTTTCCTCTGTGTTGCTTTGGGATGTCTGCTGTCCGAAGCAGAGAAGGTAGAAGTGATGCGCTGGGGGTCCAGGGCAATCCTGGTGCAAAGAATGAGCTGATCACACGTGGGTCTCCCTTGCAGTGGGTGTCTTGCCAGGGGCTTGGAGGGAGCCACATTCAAAAAGGGTTTGCAACGGAAAGAGACACAGAGAGCATTTCTCACACTCCATCTCTTTTTTCTGCTGACCTCAGGGAAGAAATTGCTCTTTAATTACAGCCCATCTCAATATCTGCACTCCTCAGTCAATACCAACGGTCAGTTTGTCAAGTCGTGGCCAGGGATGGGGTGAGGGTGCGGAGAAACAAGGCCCAGCTGACCAGATGGCCAAGGGTGTGCATGGGCTGGGCAGGGCTCCTTCATGGAGGGGGAATCCACCCATGGTTGCAATCACAGAATCACAGGATGGTTTGGGTGGGAAGGGCCCTTAAAGCCCCCCCAGTGCCCCCCCCTGCCACGGGCAGGGACACCTTCCACTAGACCAGGTTGCTCCAAGCCTCATCCCGCCTGGCCTTGGACACTTCCAGGGATGGGGCAACCACAACTTCTCTGGGCAACCTGTCCCAGTGCCTCCCCACCCTCTCCAAGTAGAATTCCTTCCTGATGTCCCATCTCCATCTCCCTCTTTCCATTTAAACCTGTTACCCCTTGTCCTGTCACTCACTGTTTTTGGAAAAAGTCGTGTTGTGTCCGCCCCTGCCCCCACCAGCGTCCGTGTAGCCCCTCAGGTACTGGAAGGTTCTACAAGGCTGCAATGGCCATAGAAATCCCATCTGGCTCAGGAGGTCCCTGCTCCCCGGTTGTGGAAACTGCAGTATAAGGGGGAAATGGCAAGAACAGTGCACTTTGCTGTAGCCTTCTGCCACCCCCACGTGCATCTTGGCCGTGGTTGGAGGGACAGATCTTGGTCTCTAGACCTTATGCTTGTGGATGCTGCTTCCAGCCCTGCTCTGCAGTGATGTTTCTGGGGTAAAGCCAGGTTCATGGCTCCTTGCTCTGGATGCATAAGGTGGGGCGGTCTGCACCCCAGTGGGTCCCTCCAGGCTGATGGGGAGAGGTGGGGACTTGTGAGATGGGACACAGCTGAGCTGACCACGGTGACCTGTGCTCACCAGCCCAATATATGGACTATAGTGTCCATTTCCCATGGAAGTGTGCACATGTGGCCAACAAACCCACCCCTTGCTGCAGGATACCCCAAAGGATGGACAACTCTCCTTGTTGGGGCAGGGGACATGTCCTGGGGGTGCTGTACCTGCACACAGGGTCTGCACACAGCATTATGCCTGGCACGGTGGGCTGTGCCCCGCTCCGTGTCCCACATGCTCAGGTCCTCATCAGCCCCTTTGCCCTCAGCTTAGGAGCCGTTTCTGAGGTGGCAGCAGCCGGTGTGATCGGGACGGGGACGCACAACACAGGGATCAAGCACGGCATCCTCTCCACCCAGGTGAGACACGACTCAGGAGCATGTGGACGCACAGACATCAGCAGCTCGAGGGCTGCAGGGGAGATGCCCCATTGCCTGGTCGGGATCTGGTGTGCCCAGTCCCAGAGTTAGGAACCATAGAATGGTTTGTTTGGAAGGGACCTCAAACCCCCCCCAGTGCCCCCGCCTGCCATGGGCAGGGACACTTTCCACTAGACCAGGTTGCTCCAAGCCTCATCCAGCCTGGCCTTGGACACTTCCAGGGATGGGGCATCCACAGCTTCTCTGGACAACCTGTGCCAGTGCCTCCCCACCCTCTCCAGGAAGAACTCCTTCCCGATGTCCCATCTCAACCTTCCTCTTTCCGTTTAAACCTGTTACCCCTTGTCCTGTCACTCCCTACCCTTGGAAAAACCCTCACTCCTACCTCAAATCCTGTAAGGCAATTCCACCGATGGATATGGGTAAGTGAAGTAATTTGAGGGAGTTTATTTCTTTATTTGATGGCTTTTCCTAGCATCTCCCAGAGAGAGAAGGATCTTTTTACGTCACTCCATCAAAGGTGGCAGGGGAGGGGCTGGTGGAGCCAAGCTGGCTAGAAAGCACCGTCAGATGCTGGTTGTGGTGTGAGGGTCTCCCTGCTGAGCCCCCAGTCATAGGGCGTGGGGTGGATGCAGGGTCTCGGCATGGAGATGGGACACACGCTGATGCTTTGCTCTCCTCGGGGCAGGTCGTAGCGCTCACACTGCTGACAGCCTCGGGGGAGATCCTGGAGTGCTCCGAGTCCACCAACACGGATATCTTCCAAGCTGCCCGTCTGCACCTTGGCTGCCTGGGTGTCGTGCTCACGGTCACCTTCCAGTGCGTGCCACAGTTCCACCTGCACGAGGTGGCCTTCCCCTCCACCCTCACCGAGGTACGACCTGGGCGATGCTTTCAAAGCCTCCTTGGGGATAAGCAAATTTCTTGGAGCGGGGACGCAGTCAGAGGAAGACTGGGAAGTGGTCGTGCTCCGGTAGAAAATCCCACCCGTGTGTGTAGTTGCACTCCTTACGCGTCTTCATGGCATGTTTCATGGTGTCCTTCAGGCTCAAACATCTGCAGGGTGACAAAGGAGAGGAACGAAAAGCCATGTTTCTTAGAAAATGTCACTTTAACTTCCCATGGGTTGGAACAGCATCTTTGGTGACTGTATCCAAGTCCCCTTGTGCTGTGGGAAGACTTTTGCTTCATTCCCAGGGGTGCTGCGTGGAGCAGAGGCGAGGGCTGACTGCTGTGGAAGCTTTGGTGGCCACAAAATGTGGGAGGAAGCTGGGTGGGGAAGCTCAGCATGCCATGAGTCTGAGTTCTTCAACCCTCACCAAAAAAAAAGCAGGTGGGACCTCTGCACCTTGCACTGGGACCCTCTGTGTCCAGCCTGGGGGAGCTGGGCAGGCAGGGAGAGCCACGGGGAAAGAGAGGGAGGTGAATGTCATTTCCTTCATTAATTATTCCTTGTGGGTTTGGGGAAACTCAAGGCACCAGCTTTGGGAGAAGTTATGCCCATTCCCAGCTGCTTTCAGCTCCACATCTGACCCATCACCTGTGGACCACGATTGTGGAAAAGAAATCATGGAGTTATAGAGCTATGAAATGGTTTGGGCTGGAAGGGACCTTAAAGCCCACCCAGTCCCACCCCCTGCTATGGGCAGGGACACCTTCCACTAGACCAGGTTGCTCCAAGCCTCATCCAGCCTGGCCTTGGACACTTCCAGGGATGGGGCATCCACAGCTTCTCTGGGCAACCTGTCCCAGTGCCTCTCCACTCTCTCTGGGAAGAATTCCTTCCTGATATCTAATCTAAATCTCCCCACTTTCAATTTAAAGCCATTACCCCTTGTTCCATCAATTTGGGGCTGAGAAGGTGCTTGCCCTCTGGAAGGGCAGCCAGTGCTCACTTTAGGGAAAAGGTTGGACAATAAGACCCCTGTCAATGTCCCTGTGTCCTGGCCTCTCTGCAGCATCATCCTCACCTCTCAGGATTGCCCCCTGCCTCACTCAGCCCAGAGGTGACAGAAATCAGAGACCCTCCTCCAGATGTGGTCCAACTCTTGGGTCCAACTCGGTGGGTTTCAAGCCGTTCCTCTGTCTCGCTGCAGACAGGGATGAGCGAGGGGAAGGGCAGCCGGAGCAGCATGGAGCTGCTTCGGGCTGTGCCATGCCAGTGTTCCCACCGGAGCAGGGATGAGTGTTTGCCCGTAGCTGTCGGCTCTTCCCTGGGCTGTCTCCAAGCCGCGGCGGGGCTGAGCACGGAGGCTCCAGCGCAATCGAGTTAGAGATGCTGAAGGAGCCTGCAGGCACCAAACGCTTCCGTCCATGGGAAACGTCACCGTGGGATGGATCCGCCAACGCCTCTGCTCCGTTTAACCCGGTGTTCGCAGGCAGGTTAGCAAGGATCTGGTAACTCCAGGCACGCATGACTAAGCCTAATGCAGATTTAATGTTCCAGCTGGAGAAAATTGCCCTTGCTGGAAATCCTGGGCTGATGGGCTGATGTGCTGCCTGGACTAAGGAAGATAGAGGGAGAATGTGACTGTGCTGAGCCAGCATCCCCGGAGGCAGGCAGTGCCTAGCTGTGCCCCAGAGGAGAAGGAGCAGCATCCCGCAGGGCATGGCTGCTCCCATGAGCCGTGAGCTTGTCGAGGAAGTGCCATCTCCCATCTCATTGTCTCCTGATGCTCAGCTAACAGACAGTCTTCCTTTTCCCAGTGGCAGATGGGCCACTTAAAATAGTCCCTGAGCATCCTGTGCTCTTGATAATGACTTGGTCCCTTCTTAGGGTCAGGGTATTTTTTGGGATGGAGCTCTTCATCTTCCAGTGTGAAGGTTGGGTTTAACTCTTTTTTTGGAGCTGAACCTGGGACAAACCCTCCTGGGGATGAGGAGTGTGATGGGTGACACATTTCAAGGGCCAAACTGAACAAATCCCTTATTAGGATCCAACTCCGGAGCTACATTTGGGTTGTGTGATGGAAAACTCCCTTTAAACTGATTGTCACGTTGATACTGGCCTCCTCTGTCTCCGTTTTGCCAAAGGTCCCCATCACCCAGACTAAGGTGCATGGTGCTAGTGATTGGGCCTTCTGGGACATGCTCAGGGGGACATGGCTTTCTGAGGAGGGTTTCTGGCCTGCTCGCTCATTGATGAGGATCTTGCACGGCTCTGAAGGCTTCACATGCTGTCTCCTCCTCAGCAACTTCTTCTGCGGTCCTGCTGTCCATCCTCTCCGTGCTGTCCCCCCTTTGTGGCCATGTCCCTCCTGGAGGCCACATCTTCCACGTAGCTCACGAGAGAGCACTTGGTTGGCCATGGAGAGCAGGAGTTTAGGTCCTTGTCCAGGACAGGGCTGAGGGACTGGGGACAGTGTCCTGGGATGCTGGTATGGAGGTGCTTGGTGCTGGAGAGTGGTTGCCTCCAGCTGAGCTTTCCATCCCTGGCAGGATCCAGCATGAAACAAGCTGATTTCCCTCTGGAAAGGCATGAAATGCCCTTTTCTGGGGCAGTGCATCTCCTGGGCTTTATGAGCTTAGGTCTCCATGTGGCTCTGTGGCCAGTGGTGGGTGTGATCTGGTCCCCTCAGAAAGTTTTGAAGGCCCTGTGGGCATTTCTACAGACCGATTGGAAGGAATTTTTTCCTGTGGGAACACATGAAAAGCGACTTTCCCCATCTCTGCCATTATATGAACTCCTTTTAACTGCTGCATGCATTTTCTTGGAGCTCTCCCACCCTCCTGCTGCTGGGAAGTTGGATGGAGCTAGCTGTTCCATCTGATGCTGGGACAACCTGGCACAGCCGCCGTATCAGGATGTGACCTACCGCCTTCAGCTGAGCAATCATCCAGCTTGTCCCACGTTTCTGGCGCTGGACCATGGCTGGAGGCTGCAGCATTACACAAGCTAAAGCCTACAGAGAAGGGGCCACCTGCACGTTGAAGGACCTGGTGGCCTTTTAAATGCTGTGTAGGCTCACTGGAAGGAGTTAGATTTCTGGATGGGGAAACTGAGGCACAAAGTTAGTCAGAAGAAAGAACTTAGTGGTAGTGGAAAGTAACCTCTCTGGGAGCTTGGATCTGCTTCAACACTGATTGTCTTTGTCCTCCCGTGGTCTGACATCCCTGCTGATGCATCCTCAGCAGCATCCCCATCCGTTGGCTCATTTGGGTCTCACAGGTCCAGTTCCAGCTCTGGCTGGTGACAGCACAAGCCTTCATTTACGTTGGGCTCATGAAAAATAAATAGTCCTTGGACAAAAGCAGCAGAATTTGTTGCAGGATTGATCAGAGCTGCAGCACTAGTGAAGCTCTGAGAAACGCTGTCCTTAATTTTTCAAGGACTGAATTATTCAGTGCCCCGTTGGGGTGGCTCGAACACCACCACGGATGTGAATTTAATGCACTTTTGCAGTACCTTCTTTGTAAACCCTGCGCCAAAGCAACCCAGTGGCCCTTGTGCTGTGCCATGGGCAGCTAGGCCAACCAGGCAGGGGGACAGAGAGGTCCATGCATGTTACCCGAGTCCATCAGTGTGTCTGCCTGCCTGCTGTCACCCCCCTAAGACCGGCTACACCAGAGCAGTCGAGAGCTGGAGAACCTCAGGGTCTTATTTTTCATGGGAGGTGGGAGAGGAAGACAAGAGGAATAAGGGAAGCCCACCAAGATATTTCTCCAACCTGCAACCAGGTCTCCAACCTGGTTCATTACCAGCATTTACAGTTTCAGAGGTGATGAGTTTGTGTTTAATGACTCAGGAGCATCTTTTGCCTGGGAACTGCCTGAGCTGTGATTTCCCTGGTGTCCTGCAGCAGGGAGTTCCCCACTTTAAATGCATTTAAATATGTTTAAATGCGGTGGGAACCTGCCAGCTCCTTACAGCTTGGTCCTCACCCACCCTGCCAGGCTGCTCAGACCTTCGCTGCATCCTTTAGCACTTTTCCTCAGCCAGATTGCCAGGCTGAGGGTTGTTTTACACCTAATCTACCTTTTAGATAGGAAACTTAACCTCATGTGCAGGATAACCCTGCTCTCCTCAGCACGCTGAGCTTTACGCTGCTCGGCATCGTCTGCCTGGGCTATGCCCCCGGCGCAGCTCAGTCCGTCTTTCCCCGTCCCTCGGGGCTGTTAGGAGGGTGAAACAAGAATGCACTCTATAAATATTAATGCCATTATCAATTCTCGGTCATCGTTGTTCCTCGCCCGCTTCCAGATCTCCGGCTTTCATGTCGAGTGGCTCAGTGAGGCGGAAGAGAATAATGGCAAGGGAGCAGGTTGCTTGAAATATTTAAGCCTGAGTTATCTAAGACGCTGCAAATAATATATGTGTCAGAGGAGTCAGGCTTGGATTTGTGGTTATGTAAGATCTGCATGCTTGCTTTTCTGGCCTGGTGATTATCTTTATCACTGGGATAAACTCAGCTGCTCTAGCTGCTGACAAAGGCTCGGAGCTGAGACCTGCTGGGAGTCTGATGAGGATGAGGATGGGTCAGACTCAGATATGATACTTCTTCCCCTGATTTTTGCAGCTCTAGGGCTTCCTGAGCTGGAGGTGGTTTCTATGCCTGTAGTAAGGCAATGGTTTTCTCCTCCAGGAAGGTCTCTGATCTGCTTCTGAACCTGTGCAAACTTAAAACCACCTGCAGGCTTGCACAGCTTAGTGACCTGGTAGGTGAAGAAGGGCTTTTTTTGGTCTGTGTCTACCATTAACCTGAACCCTAATCCTTAGGGGATGTCTCAGGTGCCTGGGACGGATCCCTCAAGCCCAATTCATCCGAACCACCCAGTGCCTAACCCTTCCCCATCTATGCTGGGCCTGTCCTCATCCCTCATAGCCAGAAATGCTGGGTTTGGTCTCAGTGCATGGAGGTGGCTCTCCCAGCTGGTGCTCGGACATTGTCCACGGATGCGGTGGGATCCCAGCGGGTGCAGGCAGCACGCAGGCAGAAGGGTGGGCTAAGCATCCATGTGGGATGCAAGCACTCCATGCTCCCTGTCTCCCCTTCACTGCTCTGCTGGACCTGCAGGATGTGTGCTAGTGACTTCTTGGGCTTCCTCCTCCACATCTGCTGCTTGTCCCACCCTTGTCCATTCCCCAAGGACCATCTGGAGCTACCAGTCTTGCAGCAGGCAGGGTGCCTGACCCTCAGCTCAGTGAGCTCTCAGGGTCGTTAAGCAGCTTCTTTTGACCTGGCCTTTATGGACCAAAGGGGTTTGTTCTGGGCTCCTGGGAGGGAACCAAAGATGAAGAAAACCCCCCGGGTCTCTGCATGCTCCAGGATCATCTCCATTGCGTGCATTGGCCATATTACAGCAACAAGATTTCCACTCCCCGACCTCTGCCTCTGACTCTGGCACTCGGCCAGCCGGCAACATCCCCAAGGACTCCCGAAGCCGGCTCGCTCGCAGCCGTCGGCTCTTGCCCGCTGTGCTGTAATTATCCTACAAAGTCGTGGGTTTATTTTTCTTCAGACCGATATTCCCCTTATCACAAGGATCAAAAGCGCACATTGAAAGGGTCGCCCCGCGAGCAATTTGCTTCTGCGCTCAAACGCCGCGGCTGGAAGACAAACAGACGTTGGCAGGATCACCTTGGGAAAGCTGCATCCTTCTTTTCCCGAGTTCTTTCAGCTACTCGAGGCACTTGTTCCTAAACCAAAGCCATGAAAATGTGGGGTTGCACCTTTTGCTCTGCTTCTACTTGCACCGTTGTTAATTGTTTCCGACAAAAATTTCTCCGGCCAGAACACAGGCTGTTCTGGGAACATCCTAGAGAGATGTGGTGGCTTTCTGGGAGCTGCACATGTAAAGATGAAGACAACGGCATTAGCATTAATTCCCACCAATTACAGGAATATGCTATTTGCTTTCCCATCCTCCCTGCTTTAACGGGACCGTGGCATTAGGGCAGTGCGACCCCATGAAGACCCTTCCCTTATGGCTGGGTCACAGCAAGATGCTTGGTGCTAAAGTAGCCCAGCCAGGTGATTAATAATAGCTGATTAAGACAAATTACTCAAATGACCCACTCAGACAGGAACAGCTTCGCAGCCAAGGATGCCGCAACCTTCCTGGGGTTATATCCATGGGTCGTTGCACCTTCTCCTGGGTCAAGCAAACTCCTTGGAGCGAAGCTGAGGGGTTTGAAGTCTTTGCAAAGCTATGGGAGATCTCTGCTGGGAGGAGCCGGGACGATTGGAGACGTTTGCAAGAGGGAGAGGTGACAACCTGGCCAAAACAGCACCATGAGGGGGTACGCACAGGGTCCCTCCACCTTTACAGGGAGAAGGGACAAGGGATGAAGGATCTTTTCATTTCTGTGGGTGCTCTTATATCAGGCAGCAGGGTTTCCTCCAAGTAGCCTTGGGACAGGACTCTGGTGGCCCTGGGAACAAGCTGAGTATGTCCTGGGGCTGCGGTGACCCTCTCAAACCCCATCGCCTGCCTTGCCCTACCTGTCCCCTGCCTGCTGCCCTTGGCTGCTGGCAGGCAGCTCTTCCAGGGGATCTGTCTTTCTTAAAGCTCTTTTTTGTGTCTTTATGGATAATCTGCAATTATTCATTTAAATTTGGGATGGCAATTCTGCATTTGAACTGTGGGATGTCTCTGGGATGGGGCTGTGCAGCATCTTGGCTCCATACTCCCATGCTCCAGGGCTCCAGAGCCCAGAGATCTGTGCTGCCGGGGTGTCTAAGCTGGGGAGGGCATCTCTGATGGACCAGGAGGTGGATTTTGGAAGCAC